ATACATGCATGGGCTGCCACCTAGCCTGCAAGAGTAACACCTTACATTTTTTGTAAATGCATGCATGCATATGTGTAACACCCTAAGCATGCAAATGTGACACTTCGCAGGCATGCAAGCACAAGCAACCACTACATCAAACTTATTTGCCTATAAATACATACCTTATGAAACATCTCTCACACCCACACAACTCTCACTCTCTGCTACGAAATATTTCTTAAGTCTATCATACTCTCTATTTCTTCCTAAGTCTTTCATACTCTCAAGCATTCTGAACAATGGCTCTTCTAACAATGGGCGATACTCACAGAGGCACAAGGGAAAACATTGCTGCATTTGTAAGTCTCTTCTTTGGTTATACATTTTTCATACTTCAAATAACGTGTTGTTCATCTTAATTAATCTTACACTTGTTTAATTATGATCTCAGGACACAAAAAGATTCAGAATCCGTTCGCACAACTACCTGGATCCCGACCCATTTATCGTCCCTTATCTGGAATATGCAGGTTTTGGACATGTGATAAAGATCTCCAACTGCACCATTGACTCAAAGTTCATTCTTGCAATGTTGGAAAGGTGGAGACCGGAGACCCATACATTTCACCTACCAATAGGTGAATGTACCATCACGCTCGAGGATGTGTACATGCTACTGGGCCTCCCTATCAATGGTAAGGCGGTGAACGGGTCGGTTCAACAACCCAACTCACAGTGTGAAGAACTGTTGGGTAGGGATATGGTAGAAGGTGGTGGAGCAAGAGGGCAGGGAATACTACTCACTGACCTGAAACGTCATTATGCAAGTATGGAATTAAATGAAAATTCCTCAGAGAATGACCGAGTAGTAAAAGCCAGAACGTATCTTATGATACTTTTTGGTACATTTTTATTTCCCGAAAGTACGGGAAATAGTGTAAATTTCATGTACTTACATTTACTAACAAATTTTGAAAAAACTAAAAAATATAGTTGGGGTTCTGCAGTATTAGCCCACCTGTACAGTTCCTTGTGCAAAAACGCAGTCAAGGAAAAATGTACATTTTATGGGTGCGCATTTTTACTACAAGCCTGGGGTTGGTGGAGGATGGAGTCCTTAAACCCCATCAACAACAACACTTTTGGTTTCCCGTACGCAACAAAGTAAGTCATTAAGTTATAGCATTTATAACTATTCTGCTCTTTCCAAAATATATGCTAAAAATAACATGTTTCTCATTTCCTTTAGGTACTGCGTGAGGGGTATGGATTACGGCAAGAATCCAAGATTCAATGTCGCACTCTACCGGAATCTGTTGGATCACTTAGGCCCAGATGACGTACGTCGTAGCTTTTAACTTTTGTTCATTTTAATTATTTATACATTACTTTTGCGCTAACCTGATTTAAATTTTATCGCAGTTCGTCTGGAGACCATATTTGGATTTGGGCCATGCTCCAAACCCAGAGGATGCAGCAACTTGGACTGCAAAGACTGCACTCATTCGGTTCAACATTGTGGAGATGCACCACAGCGACCGTGTGAAGATGTAGTTCGGAATGCATCAAGAGATACCAAGTGATCCAACAGATTTGTCCCCCTGGCATCTTAAAAGGGTCGACGCCCAGTGGGGTCTTACCAACTGGAAAGACTTTGCTCCGGAATGGTGTAAAATGTGGCAAAGGCGTCACCGCTACATCTTGCAATCCCCGGTTTTCCTTACTCAAGGTAACATGCGACACACTGATCAATATATGTCGTGGTACAGGTCGGTTAGTAACCCAGAAATGCACGTATCTCATCCGAGGTACTTGCTTGACCCACGCACACAATGGGCACAACCCTCGATTCCCCATCAACAAACCCAAAATCCATCAACCTCAAACCAACCCCCAAGAAGAAACAGACCAACAAACACACAACCACATTCCCCACCACAACACAACTACAATCAAATGTCGTACTACCAACCACAATCACCACCAAACTACCAATACCCGGATATGCCTCAAACTCAACCACAATACCAACCCCAATACCAGCACACCCACATACCCCAGACACAATTTCAGTCTTCCACATATCCCAATATGGCGCCCTCAACATCCAGCCTTAGCCCTGATATGGGAATGTCAGAAGATTATGACCAAGCCGATCAAACCTACCATCAACCACCATATCACCAAACAACCCAACATCCACAATACCAAACACCCCAAGATCCATTTCCTTTCTACCCCCCATACTCAGACGACCAATGCTACCGACCAACCATGGAACCCCACCCACCGCCAACACGACCAAACTTTGAGGGTATGGGTAACCGACTGTACCAGAGCGGATCTTCGAGATATGGAGATCTTACTGATTTTATGGATTCGGATCGCATTGACTTCGCTGGGCCATCGACCTTGCCGCAGCAGGAAACGCGACGGCACCCAGCAAGAGAAAGGCGAGGACGGGGATGCGGAACCGGGGGTCATTACCGGGTTCCGGGGGATCACTGATGTATCTTTTTTTTTCCCAGTATTTTTTGTATCCATTTTTTTTACTGTTCTTTTAATGTAATACAGTTGAATGTAATTTTTTTTTTTAATAAAAAGTCCATTTTGTTGATCTCTGTCCAATAGGCAACGCACAGGAAAGAAAATAAAAAAAAAAATTTGTCCTAAATTTGTACATAGGCGCCATCTCACTTGGCTTAGGGCATGCCCTAAGCACTTAGGCGCCAAGTGAGATGGCGCCTCCCTTAAAAAAGGAGGTGCATGCGCCAATTGAGATGACTCCTTCTTTGTAGAGCCATCTCAAACATGGTTATTTGCGTAATTTTTTCCGAAACCCGGTTATTTACGAAATATTTTTTTAATACATGGTTATTAATAAAAAAAATTCGAAGTCATGATGAGTTTTTTTTCTTCTTATTTAAGTTTAAGTTTAAGTTCAAAAATAAGGGAGTATAAGTTTAAATTCTTCCTTTTGTTTTTAATTTTGTCAAGGTAGAATAGGTCAGCTATGGAGCTAGTCATGATGAGTTTTTTTTCTTCTTATTTATGAATATGCTCATAAGTCATAAGGGTTTACTCAGCACCATTTGCATGATCCTCAAAATAAAGGCAGGATCTTGCTTTTATGCCAAGTGTTTTTGCTATAGAATAATGTAACACCATTTTCTTGTCTTGCTTGCAGGTCATTCATCACTTACTTAGATCACAAGGTCTAGATTTTGTGGTCAGACCGTTATAAGGAGTCTACAAGTTAAGTTATTAGGGGTCTATGACTTAATCTATAAAACAAAAGTTTATGTTAGACTATGTTTTTTCCTTAAAAAGAAAAGTCTTAAGTTTTTTAATAAGCATGTTTAGTTAAAAAGATTATGTCTAAGGTTATAAAAAAAAAAAAGCCTTTTAAGTCTATCAAATTAGTCTATTTAAATAAACATAAATAATTTTTTTATTATCATTATGTTATGTTTTATATTTTGAATTAAAATATATAAATAAAATTTGGTTATTTTTGAGATCTTGTGAAAATAAGATGAAAATACCTTATGATATGTCTAAAATAAATAGACATTTACATAGGACCACAGGCTAACCAGACCTTCAAAAAGGCCAAATTCAAAACCTAAAAAATATACTTATGACAGTTATTTTCACCCCTACTAGATGCAGCTACCCCTACTAGATGCAGCCAGAAATCTTGAATATATACATAGTACACGATCATACAAAATCACATTATGTTAATCAAGCTATACAAGTAACTCTTTACTTGATTCTTCTTTAGAGTCAAGCTACTAACAATTTTAGGCACCATTCAACTATTTCTAAGTGGTTTACATATTTTTTTTATATCAAAATTTGTATTAATGGTTTTTTATCAAACATAGCAATGATCACCCAAAAACGCTATATTCTTTTTAATGGCAAAATCAATTATTTTTTTTAAATTACCTTCATTTTTCTAAAAGACAACATTACTATGGATGAGTCTTTTGGACTCTAAAAATGTAAAAAGTTCCCCGATTCTAAAAAGTAAAAAATGTCAAATACAAATAATATAAAATCATGTTAATTGTCGAAACACGTTTTTTCATGTCTAACCATTTTACTGGTTGTGGTTTTGAAGATTGTTTGTCCCAGTGCAAAACCTTTTATCATTGGTCTTATAAGTGAGAAAACCTAAATCAAGTTGCACCTACACATGCACGTTTATCTCATAAAAAAATTCCAAGAGGCCTATTTGAAAATTCAGCTAGCTTGTATTTCTGGCATTTGGAAACAAATTCCACCACAAAATAAGCCAGAAAGTGTAGCTAAGCAAATTCTACCATAAAAAGAAAAAGGCTACAAAGTGTAGTGTAGCTTCTTATCATAGTCTAGAGCAATACAGAAGTATAAACAATCAGGCATTTACAAGGCAAAACGTGATTGTACAAAGGCGATGTAAAAACAAAATGTACACTAATTTACTAAATTAAAATAAATATTATGAAAATAGAGAACTGAACAAATTCTTCTCTTTCTCTTATGATATGTTGCATTTTATATTAAAAACTTGGCTGTAAATACTTCTCTTTGTCTTTTGATATGTTGCATCTTATATGAAAAACTTGGTTGTAACACATGTACTTTTCGATGATATAGTGGAATATTTACTTCTATATTATTTCTGCTTGTTTTACTCATAGTGCCGCATCTGTTTTCAGGGGGCATTGTTTTAATATTTGTCAAATTGCAGATATTGGCAGTTCTTAGGAATGCACCTGATTTATCATATTTCACAAGTGATGCATTATTCAAAATATACATATCATAATATTGAATATTGATCCTATTATGATGAACTTGTATCCATGACTATAAGATGAGTAGTATTCTATGCATATCTACACAACAATTGCCATATATATAATATATCTATCTTGTTATTGTTGTGAAACTACAAATACAGCTCAGAATTTTATGTAGCTTTAATCTAGAACAGACCTTATCACTGCAATGTAAGAATTGGTAACCTACTTGACAAGGGAAGCAAGCACTCTGCGAGGAGGATCAAATGGTCTTCGAGAATGAAGAACAGCCCAGTTATCAAGCAACATAACATCCCCTTTACGCCAAGGAATGGCAACAGATTCCTCCTCAAGTATATTAAGACAGTCATACACTACATCAGCAGGTAAAGGGCTGCCATCCCCAAATGTCACAGCCTTAACAGGATCATTTCTTTCATCTTTCCAACCAGTGTAAGCAGCCACCATGCTATTAAACCAAATCTTACGCTTTCTTACTTCGTCATATTTCACTGCAGGAATTGGTCCCATAACTGTTTTCACTCCATCTTCCAACCATTCCAACTTCATACCCAGTTCACCAGCCCTGCAAATTTTCACAATCAAAGTTTAAAAAAAGCTTGCAACCATAATGTACACCGCAACGTCATAGTTTTTTCACAACATAGGCCATGTTTTACCGCAATTACAATTGCATTCAAAACCTTGTTCAGAATCTATGTAGCAACAAAAATAAGACCAAATGTGACATAATTCAATACCTTTTTCAGAATCTATGTAGCAACAAAAATAAACCAAATGTGACACAATTCAAAACCTTGTTCAAAACCTATGTAGCACCGACACTTGAGATCAAAAATGACATAATTCAAAACCTTGTTCAAAACTTATGCAGCCCCGACACTTCAGATTAAATGCAACAAAATTCAAAGCCTTGTCCAAAACCTATGTAACACTGATGAAACACAACATAAATTAAAACCCTGATTAAAACTTTAAATCAAACACGACACAAATCCAAAAACTAAGTAGCATTGACAATTAAGATCAAGAGTGACATACAGAACTCAAAATCTTGTTCAAAACTTATGCAGGACCGGCACTTTAAATCAAACACGACGCAAATCCAATAACTAAGCAGCATTGACAATTAAGATCAAGAGTGACATACACAATTCAAAACCTTGTTTAAAACTTATGTAGCACTGATACTTTAAATCAAACACTACACAAATCCAAAAACTAAGTTGCATTGACAATTAAGAACAAAAGTGATATACACAATTCAAAATCTTGTTCAAAACTTATGTAGCACCGACGCTTCAGATCAAACACTTCATATGAAAGATGTGTCCAGTGCCAGATACATGCAAATACTTTCAATTCAAGAAATTATTATCCACATCAACGTGGCCATACTAGTGTAGTTTATCTTGGTGCATCATAGAACTTCAGAAAACAAACATAACATGCAGTTTTTCACTTCCCAGTTAACATAAAATTTCATATGAATACGAACATAACCTATGTAGCATTGACAATTAAGATCAAAAGCGACATAATTCAAAACCTTGTTCAAAACCTATGTAGCACCGACACTTAAGAATTAAGATCCAAAGTGACATAATTCAAAACCTTGTTCAAAACTTATGCAGCACCGACACTTCAAATTAAACGTGACGAAATTCAAAGCCTTGTCCAAAACCTATATAAAACCGATGAAACGCAGCATAAACTAAAACCTTGTTTAAAACAGAGTTGTCAAAAGCGGCCGTAGTGGCCGCTATAGCGGCGCTCCGTAGCGGAGCGGTGGCCTCCCGCGCGCTAACATGGGGGCGGTAGCGGAGATGGGATAGCGGCCGCTTTTCATGACATAGTGGATCGCCCGTCGCGGGTTTTTCCCGGGCGGAGCAGATCTGCAGTTTTTCTTTTTTTTTTATAAATTTTTTTTAACAAAATTACTGTTTTGCCCTTATTATTTTATAAAATAATATGTAAAATAGTTTGTTATAACTCACGTTTCTTTCTTTCTGCCGTTCGTTTCTTTTTCTTCTCCTTGCCCTACCGTTCCGCTTCTCCTTTCTCCTTGCCCTACCGTTCCTCTCTCTGCCGTCTCCTACTGTTTCCAGCTTTTCTCTGCCGTCTCTTCTCCTTTCTCCTTGCCTGTTTCCAGCTTTTCTCTTCGCCGTCTCTCTTCACCGTTTCCACACCGAATGGTTGGTGGGAGAGATGGAAAAGGTAGGAGATGATGGTGAAGACTTGGTTCATCCAAATGATGATTTAACTTGGAGTCAAGTTGCCGATGCTAGTGGGGCTAATGAGCCTATAATCTACACTAGGAGGACAACAAGGCAAAATGAAGTTGGAAGTACTTCTCAAGCAACAACGGCACCAAGAGCAACAATTGCACCAAGAGCAACAATGGCAACTAGAGCACCAATGGAACAACAAGTGATGGAAGATGTTGAAGAAGTTGAAGATGAAGAATTGGAGGAAGATTTTGAAGAAGTTGAAGATGAAGATGAAGAAATGGAGGAATATATTGAAGAAGATGAAGAGGAAGAGGAATTTTTTGATGATGCTATATGATTTCTATGTTTGACATTTGAACCTTTATGTTTGAATCTTTATGTTTTGAGTCTTGATTAAGCATTGTTCTTTGTTTGACATTTGAACCTTTATGTTTTGAATCTTTATGTTTTGAGTCTTGATTAAGCATTGTTCTTTGTTTGACATTAGATTTTATAAGTATTTTATGAGTGTTGTGGAATTAATTTAGTATTGCATGACATATGTTTTATAACATATGTTTTATAGATTATTATATAATTATTAGTATACAAAAAGTTGTCCCGCTATCCGGAATCCCGCTATTCCCGCTTTTCCCATTCCGAGGGTCGGCCGCTCCGCTCCGCTATCCGGGATTAACAACTCTGGTTTAAAACTTATGTAGCACTGATACTTTAGATCAAACACGAGACAAATTCAAAACCTATGTAGCACCGATGAAATGCAACATAATTTAAGACCTTGTTTAAAAATTATGTAGCAACGACACTTTAGATCAAATACAAGACAAATCCAAAAACTATTTAGCATTGACAATTAAGATCAAAGGCGACATACATAATTCAAAATCCTGTTTAAAATTTATGTAGCGCGGATGCTTCGGATCAAACACCAAACAGTTTATACGAAAGATGTGTCCGGTGTCAGAGATAGATACATGCAAATCCGATTACTTTGGATTCATTAAATTATTATCGGCATCAATGTGTTGATACTATTACTAGTGTAGTTTATAAGCATAACATAATTTATGACTTCACAGTTAACATAATAAATAAATATATGAAAAACCTTTGTTGAGCAACGGTTTTGTCTTGAGTTAAGAACGTTGATTTCCAGCCTCTACCAATGGGAGAGGAAGGGTTATCATCTTCACCTAAAACCCTAACATACAACAAACCAAAGTCCTCGAGTTTCTCAACAAACTCGGGATAACGTTCCTTCATCCTATCATACACAACATGGCTTAGAACAATCGGCGTTTCACCGCCGGTAGCCGGCTCAACTTCACAGAAAAAGAACAGCTTAGACGGAAACTGCGGAACCTGAGCCATCTCATGATGAAAAGGAATTTTCTGATCCGGCGGCGATTCGTTGGCGGTGAAGACACGGCCGATGACATTAGTGCGCGGGGCAGCGCCGCCGATGTAGGGAAGCTCGGGGTAGTCGAAGGCTAGGACGAGGTCGTTGAAGTGGGAGGCGGTGTGGAGGGGGAAGGCTCGGAGGATGAGGGCGCCGGAATGGAGAAGGAGGGATTCGAGATAGGGTTTGTGGGTTTTGATTGAGTGTGTTGCGTGTAGAGGGAGTGTAGGTGAGGATGTGGTTGAGGGAGATAGTATGGTGGGAAATCGAAGGCCGTTTCGGAGAAGCTTTTGCTCGGGGATTTCGATTTCTTGGAATGGTTCTGATGTGGACATGGTTGAAGCTGAGTTTTGGGAACGGTGCCGATGGTCTTCAACCTCCACGCAAATTCAGACCAGCTTCAGCACCACCAACAACAACTATTACACAATTCACCACACACGTCGCCTATATGTCACAAACTAAATTCATAACATGTTAGCAAAAGCTACACACTAGATAAAACTATTAGAGTACTAAATTGTTATCTAATCACTCATGTATTGTTATCATCAAAACTAAATGTGAGATGCATAATCAAATATTGTTCTTATAATCTTTCCCTTTTTGATGATGACAAAACCATGTATTTCAATACACAATTTATACTAAGTTTAATCACATAAAACAATTCAGAGTTAGCTAAATAGCTCCCTTTGAGTTCTATACTCTCCTGACTTATTTAATCTTGTTCAGAGTCTCCCCTTAAGTTCAAGACTTAAAGAAATTTTGAGAAAAATAGCACGAATTAATCAACATGAAGGAATACTTTCTTGATTGAATTAATATCAAAAGTTTGACTAGCGATGCTGAAATCTTCATCTCAGATTTTGGCTTGCTATCAAAACATGGTGAGGTATCTTATCAGAATTTGGTGGAGTCTCGGAGAATGGTTGTGAAAAACCAAATCTAGATTATCAAGTAACACAACTTGATCAATTTGTCACTTCATTAGAGTCTGGTTGAATTTGCTTTGAACAAAAGTCTGATAACCGATTACTTCTGATACTATAGCTTTTGAATCTCCACCAGAGCTTCAGAACTTGTATGTAAAGAAAAATTCAGTGAACTTTCTCAAAGTTCATGAGTCAAACAATATTAGAGGCAATAAAATTTGAAACATGTTTGGGAACAGATTCTGAGATAAGATATACCAAAATCTTCTATTTTCTCCCCCTTTGTCAAAAATAAAAAAGATTTAAAGGGACAAAGTAAAAAAATTCCATTAACCAAAGACCAAGATACAAAAGTTTTTAGAAACAGAAGGAAAAACACTTAAGTTCTAAAAGCAAAGGTAAAATAAATGGTATAGGGTTTTGGTGGAGGAGGAAGAGTTATCCTTGTTATGAAGTCCTTCAGTAAGTTTAAAGAGGGCGGAATGTTCGTCGATCTTTTGGTCTTGCTTATCCATACGTTGTAGAATAATGGTATTTAACTTCTTCAACTCTTTCAAAGTATCCATTAGCCCAGGTGGCATCACCGCGACAATCTTCACAACCCCATAAATTGTACCTTCTTCAGCAAACGACTTCTCAAATTCAACCATCACAAAAGCAACAACATTTGTAGGTTGTTCATCCATTGCAGAAGCAATGTCGTCTTCTGGAATGACTATTTATGGAGCAGGCAAGCATAGGGGAATATGAGGAGGTGCCTTAGCAGCAAGTATAGCCTCATGCTTCTTCCTTGATTCTTGGGTACAAAAGACTTCAATGATGTTTGAGTTAACATTCATCCATCTTCTAAAACCATACTAGATAGCAGTTGTCTGTCCAAGATTTATGTTGTCAAAAGTGCTCTCTACAGCATGGTGCAGTGTATCATGAGTAGAATATTCAAAGTAATACATCAATTCATCCAAGAGTGTTGGACGAATATCGGTAAGAAGGAAAAATGTTGAGAGGGTGTGGAGTAAGGGAGAGAGATTTTGTCTGGCACAATAATGTTGTTCAGGATATCATCTTCAAACATAAAGTCCTCAGAGGTGGTATCTTGAGCATCAGAGTTGTGAGGTTCATGTTGAGAAGATTAAGATGGGAGGTTTTTGAGAAGAGGGGTGAGATCTATTTCAGTTTCTCTTAGTTGATGGAGGAGTATTTGTGGTGGTAGTTAAGATTCAGCTAATTTGGTTATTATGGAATTTGTGAAGTCAAGACTCTCTATCTATTTTGTTTTGATGAAGACAAAGTGATAATCAAATGAATGGAAAAATCTTCAAGGTCAAATTATGGCATCAAGTTTCCAAGGCTTATGATTTGTGAAGGCTAGCATCAAGTGTTTAAGACTTATCTTTTTGAAGACTAACATTGATTTCTTGATTGATCTTTATAACTGAGGTACAAACATGCAATAATATTTTGATATTTTAGTGCTAAAAACATCTATACATATTCACTTGCATGCATAACATAAATTGGTTAAGATTACAAATTTTTTTTGTACTTCTGTCAAAAGCATTTTCCCTGTTTCGGTAGCCGTAATCGATTACAACATTTCATGTAATCGATAATGCCTTGGTAACCTGTTATGCATGAGTTTGTGGAAAATCATTTTTTCCTTCATAACTAATTACACCCTTTTGCGTAATCTATTACAGTCACGATTTTTTTAATTTCAAGAGGCAACGCTTCAGCTTAATCGATTACAGGCCTTTCTTGTAATCGATTACCACTGAAACATTGGTTGTTTTCACTTCAGTTTTGATCTGGATGTTTTCACTTTTGCATCCCTTAATCATTGAATCATACAATATTATAAGGGTGTTAAGGTGATATAAATACTCTCATTTTCAGAATTTAAAACTCACCTCTTCCTTAGCAATTTGAAATCATTTACTCACTCATTTTCAAACAAGTGTTTTAATACTTAAATTTTTATTGAGATTCTTTTTGCATTTGTTTACATATCAGTTCAGAAAAATTTCTCCCTCATTCATAAACACTTGAGAGGACTAATATATCTTTATAAATTACTTGTTTGGAAGAGAAGATCAATCCTAGTGATATATATATATATATATATATATATATATATATATATATATATATATATATATATATTCATCTAATTTCTTTACTTAAATATTTTTCAGACTTGGTTGTAATATTTTGTTGTTCAGGATTGTTGGAAGCAAGAGAGTTGAATTTGAGAGGATTGTTATTATTTCAACTTGGTTGATCACAATGGAATTATTCTTGGTGATTATGTTAGTCTTGTACAAGTCATAACAATAGTGAAATCTTTTTCGTGTATGTGATACGGTGGGAGAACTGACTTGAGGTTTTGCGTTTGTATTCGCAAATGTTGCGGTTAGCAAGAGTCGCCACCGACTTTTTATTTTATCCTAAGGAAAGGTTAAAAAGCACAGCAAAAACCTTTTGAGATGTTTTCTTGGGTTCGGGGAGTAGATTATAGAAAGGGAAGGTATTAGCACCCTTTCTATCCATGGTTATCCATGGGCTCTTAGTTACTTGCTTAGATCACTTGCCTTTTGTTTTCAATTGTTTTAAATGGTGCTTGAGTGTGTGGGTTTTGAAAATTTTTTTGAAAAGAGGCCAATGTGGTGGCAACCTTTGTAATGATCCATGTGGGGATGTATACAAAGATGTATGTCTTTTGAAAAAGTTTTCATTTTGTTTTTGAAAGTTGTTTTGAAAGTGTAGTGATGTGATTTTGAAATTAGGCAAGTGTTTTGTTTTGCAAATTGATTTAAGTAACTAAGAGGTTATCTACTCCTAAATTTCTCAAAAGATTATTGCTATACTTTAACCCTTTTAGCAAGTTTTGCTCCACCATTGTATTTGGTGGGCAACCTTGTGTTAGGATGTGAAAGGGACAGGCGCGGGTCATCGTTTTAGACCATAATTGCAACGACGTTAAATGTCTTTGGGCAATTTCTTTAAGGGACTTGATCATTTGTTTTTGTTTGTTTTGAAAAGTTTTGTCGAGGGACTATGATCATTCAAATTGTTTGCTTTGCCCAAAGATGTTCAACATACAATATGGCCCATTTATTTGAAGGCAACAAGTGGAATACCCTAGGGGGTGCAAGTGTGATTTGTGTGTCCATTTTCATGCTTGTTTATCTTGTATTAGGTCAAACTATTTTTTATCGTTTTTCGCATACAAACCCTAATTCTAACATGTTATCATTAGAAAGCAATAAAGTGCGAAATTAAAATTACTAAGCTATTACAAAACCAAATATGGGAAGGGGGGTACAAAGGTTCAAATGGGGATATTGACAAGAATTTAAATCTAAATTATTACATCATTTGGAATATTTGCAATTTAAATAATGCATAATTAAATGTAAATGAAATAAATATGTGAAATGCAAAAAGAAAGTTTTTATATGTATGAGAAAATATTATTTATGTAAAAGGAAAAAAAGAAAATAAAAATGTATTATTTTTTGAGTACTTTGAACTTAGGGTAAAAACCCTAATTTTTAAAGAGAAAAAAAAAAGGTATTATTTAATTTTAATACAACTATTTATTTATTATTTATAAAAATAACATAAAATGAAGTGTATTGTGAAAAAGGTATTTTTGTATCAAATATTAAATAAAATGAAAAATCAAGTATTTTTATATTTTGTCTTAAATATATTAATAATCACATATATATATTTATATTAAACCCTAAATATGTATTATACAAAAAAAATAAATATTTATTTAATATTTTAATAAAATAAATAAAAGAGTATTTTTTGTGTGAAATATTTTCAGAAAGTAAATAAAAATAAAAATTGTATTTACATTATTTCTTATTTATTCTAATAATAATACATATATATATTATATACAAACAAAGAAAATAAACAAATAAATATGCAATAAATGCAAAAAATGATGAAAAAAAATATTTTTAATTTTTAAATGTCATGAGAAAAAATAAACAAAGTCAGCCAAAAAAGAAAAAGTCAAAAATGTTAAAAAATGAGCAAATGAGCTCAGGGGGGTGTAAATCAGAAAAGATGGTGTGAAAAGCAAAATGACACAGGCCCAGCCCACTCCACTCCTTCTTCAACCTCCAGCACAGATATTTGAAAAAAACGCGCGCCATGTTCAGTTCCTTCTAACTCTTGATTCCTGGCTTTTTAGCAAAAACTCATAACACAAGAAATGTTCAGCATGAAGAGACGGTTCTAACCATATAAAGAACTTGACCTATCTCTCTAAGATGAGGGAGAATTTCTCCTCCCCCAAATCCTAACCTAATTTTTCTACCATTTTCAAGCTCCAAATTCTCTCTACTCAGGCAAAAGAAATGAAATGTAAAGATATGTAC